AAATTTATAAGGTTTGAAAATTAAATTGATTTTATTTAAGTTTAATGGGTGTGTAAGTTAAGTTAAATGTAAAAGGTAATTGAATTATTGAAACTGTTGCAAAAGCAAAAAAGAAAATTAAAATAACTAATATTAACACGCAGAAATAGAAATGAAATAGGGTTTAAAATTGAAATGATTTTACTTATTTATAACGTGTATATATTTTAAGTAAATTAAGGTAGCAATGCTAAATAAAAGGGATATATTACACGCGTAAACTTGTTATGTATTTTTGTTTTTGAAACTAGCAGTAAATTAAAAATTAAATGAATTAAATATTACAATAGCACAGTTAATATGATTACATTATTCTTTTAATATGTTTCGAATTTCAAATTGAAAAGCAAGACCCCATTAATTTTTATTTTTTTCAAGTTAGTATATCTTCAAAATGATTGCTTTTTTTATATACCCAGCATTCAAGGCCGGAAAATAAGATAACAACTCTCACATTTCCATTGTCCAAATCCGAAATCTTAACTACCAGTGAGAGTCCCTTACATAATACAATTATATAATATAGCAATAAATTCGTGTGCAGTCGTATATATAAATTAAAACCGTGAAAAACAAAAGGGTTACGCTCCGGCCTTTTGTGGTTCAAAAATAAGTGGTAATGGCATTGGCACAAAGGATGGGGAATGGGTTTGGGAATGGGATTTGGCTGAGGGCGCCACATAAGCCACAGTCCAGGCTGCATAACTCAAGGCGTCTGTGACATTTTTATGGCATCAAATATATATTTTATTCGCCGGTTTCCGAAAAAAAAACAGAGGAGTAGTTAAGGGGGTATAGGAAAAAACAATAGAAATAGATTAACACAAAAAAACAATATAAATAAAAACATATGACTCTCTAAGATCATTTACTTCTTATGCTGCACCAACGCATTGAAATCCTTATTTTGAAATTCCCTACGCCACTGATAGTAATATATACATTTATTTTCCGTCGCTTTTGGGCATTTTACATTCCGCTTGGGCCCATTCCTCTTGGCCAAAGCCCCTGCACCCCTTAACCTCAATGCAATTAAAACAAAGAGAGAAAAGGGGCACATTAATCCTTTTTACACAATATCCTGTACGTATGACCGCCAAATGGATGACGGGGGTGCAATACTTTGTTGGGGGGCTGAGGGAAATGGGGCTTACACGAGCGGCGGCCATTTTCTTTTGCCAGCTGCCATTTTTATGCTCGTTTTGTGTGCCTTTTTTTATTGTCTGCTCTTCTGCTTTTCTGTTTTTTTTTTCATTTTGTTGCTGTTTGGCATTAAAAATGTTTTATGTTGTGTGCGATTTGAGCAACCTACTTTGCACATGCTCAGGGGCGTGGGAGGGTTAAGGGGCGAGGGCTGCCCAGAGATCTCATCGGTGGCGCTTTATTTGGTTATATATTCTATGTGTACGTTCGCTTAACAAGGATGTGCGCTCGTTTGTTTGCCTAGAAAAGGCTTAATTTGTACAGGACTTTGCCGCACACACATGCGCGCTTTTAACGACTCCCAAATCGCATTTGTGTGTGTGTGTGTGTGTATGTGCGACTTTTGTCTTGGCTTTAACTGTTTTTATGGCGCATTGCGACTTTTTATGGCCTTGTCTCCTGATACTCTGCTAAAAGTTGAGTATTTTGATTACAAAATTGATTAAGGACATTAAAAATGCCTTAAAAAGGAATGAAAACTAATATGGAACTCATAAAATATTTTATAAAAATTAATAAATAAACAAATTGTCAACAAGGAGAGATGATCGACAAAAATATATATACCATTATAGTTGAAAGACCTAAATTAAAACCATGAATAAGTATAAAAATATTTTGTTTTTAAAAAATAGAATTTGAATCAAATGAATTGTATCCTATCCGTTTGGGGAATAAAATATTTATAATTTAGAAACAAAGAATTCTTGTAAGTAACTTAGAAATACCCTTTCATTTTAGGATTAGAAATAAATATTTAAAACCTAAATATACAAATTCAAGGATTAAAAACTTACTTCTAAAGTTCCAAAGTCAGAGCATTCACATTTCTCTATAGGAAATACAATTTACATAAGTTGTCTTATTTTAGCTTTGCCTATTCTAATGTGGGCTGCCCCCCGCCCGGGCCACGCCCCCAAAGCTAAAGGCACCGCCAGCCGAGGACGAAAAAAAAGCACACGAAAAGCATAAAGGATAATAATAAAACGGAGCCTTATCGCTGATGCCGATGCTGCCTTGCTTTCGCTCCTGATGATGGCGATGTTGAATGCCGCTCGCTGTTATAATAAAACAAATGGCAGCCCCATTTAATTGCTGGCCATAAATGTGTTTGGTCCTTCGCACACGGCATGGTATAGTATGGTGTATCCTTTTCGAGGATGCCACCGAAGAAGGCGAGTGTGTGCGTGTATTACTTTTTATTATTATTAGTATTTAAATTTATTTGTTACTTTATGGCGTGCACGCTGATAAATCTGAGCAAGCTCATTGGCCTTTTTAATGGCCGGCCATAAAAGGTAAGCCCAGAAGAGCGGTCCAAATTACACAATCACAGCAAGTTAAAAGTCCATTTAGTATCGCCGATATGACATAATTGAGTGGACGCTATCTCTAAGCCACCAAGTGAAAACCACCTTAAAAGTGCCAGCAAATACCAGCATATGCAGCAGCCATTTGAGGCGATGTCCTGTGGCTTTTGTTTTCATTCGACAATGCAATTAATGCAATTGCACAATTGTTTTCGGGGGCACTTACTGCCGAAGTTCTCGCCAAGGGAAAAGTTTTGTGCACTCACAATTGGCACATTTGGTTTTATTACCCAATTGAGCAGCTAATTTGTGGGGAGTTGTTCAACCCGGCAAAACAAGTCAATTTGTGGTTAACTGAGTATCTCTCTGCGAAACTCAACCCTCATTTTCATTCTCATTCAATAAAAACATCTAATCGAAAGGACTGTCGTGGCTCATTAATGCTGTCTGCAGCATTTGTTATGATATTTTTATTATTTTTTGTGCCTGCCGTGATTTCAATTTGATTTGTGCGATGATTAATTCATGCTGGGCATACGCCACACCTACCATTTCCATTCCCCAATCTCTGCGATGATAAATGAACCCTATTCCCCCGATCTCGGTGTGTGTGTTTGTGTGTTGATGCTTATCCGCGACATTCCTGCCGCCCAAAGTGTCACTGTTGTCGATCATTTTTATGTTGTGTTCCCTTTGAGCACTTTGATTGACAAGCCGGAGTTCGGAGCCCGGTGTCCCGGGTTCATTTTACATGCAGCGATCATCTCGGGGGCTCCCTTGTTTTTACTTGTCTGCCTTTTATGATCGCTCGTTTTATGGGGATCGTCGGAGCGGCAGTTTACCATAAAACGCCCATTAATCATTTAATAGAGTCGCGTAATGAACTCGCATTTTGGCCGGGCGGTCTGCCAAAAAACTTACTTCGTTTCATCCTTTTTTTTTTTTTTTTTTGATTTTTTTGTCGATTTTGAACTGGCCTGGCTTTGGCACCTAATCCTGGCGCACAACTATGCCGTTTGCATTGTTCCACGCACAATGGACACAAAGGACATGTTTGCACTGATTATCAGATTAGGCCATTGTACGTACAAATTGATATTGTCATGTTTCAAGTGCCAGTTCGCCTGCCTGGCTGGCTGGCCAGTTTGCCCTCCAGCCAGAGGCAGTGCAGAACTCATTGAATGCTGTCGCCAGTGCCGATTAAGAGATTTTTATTTTCGCACTCGTCGCAGTTGCCAACGAACCAACCAACCAACCAAACAACCAACCAACCGGGCCTGGCGTGGCCAAAACAATGGCCCAGTCGCCTGGGCAGATTTGCAATATTTAGGCTCGGCTTCCTCTTGTTTCTGCATTCGGTTTTGACGAAACAATCGCCGGACAATGAGCCATGAGTGGTTTTAGCGCTGCGGTCCTCCTCGTTTTGGTCTAGTTTCTGGGTCAGAACCGATCATTAGCATAAAGCCACAGCGGCGACGGCAATTCACTGGGCGTTGGCCGAAAAAAATCGACAAGACGAGACGACGGGCAGGGATTAGCCCGAAAATGTGCACATCATCCTGGCCGGCAAAGATCCTTTTGCCGTTGATCTCCGTATCGGACAAGTGATCGGTGTATCGCAATCTTGCCCCGGAAAATCGTTTCAGGTCGTATCAGATTTCGCTGGAAATCATTTGGCAGGATTTCCCTATCAAGGCAGCTGAATCGATCGAAGGACGAGAGGTGTTGGCGGCTATTCTTAGTTTGCTTTTGATCCACAGCCAGCCGAATTGTCTGCAAATGCAGATCTAGGCTGCCAGATATGCTAATCTTTGGCACTTTCAATAGGGGGGTTTCCAGAATCTCGGCTTCATTGTCAAAAGAGTTATAACACTAAACCATCTTGATAAAAGGGAATACTTTGCCATTAAATATACATTTTCTAAGACATTGATTAAAATCTATTGACATGTGAGCTGCACAGAGAGAAAATAGCTCTTAAAGAATGATCATGCATTTGGTGTTTATTAATATAACAACTAAACTTTAATGTATACGATACATTTTGAAAAAAAATTAAAAAAAAAGGAAATTTAACTTCGTTCGCGTCCCAGCAGTCGAGCATTAAATTCGAAGACCGATGCTCCAGTTGACTTCCAAGACACCAAGCTCACACCGTAGGACTTCCTCAAGGACATCTGCAAAATCAAGTATATGATCTACTCAACTAAGATACCGATAAATGTCCTAACAAATTTCTTACATAAAAGTCAGCATACAAAATTAGAAAAATATATATATATAAACATTAATTATAGATATTCTCTCGTATGCAAAAATAAATCAGAATAAATCAGAAAACATTGTATTCTACAAAATTGTATATACTTACTTATTTTGCTAATTAAAAGTCCATATATAAATAAACTTTATGTTTTTCACTTTTTATTATTTGTTGCTAAATAAATTTCAAGCTTCTTCATTTATCATATTTTACGTTGCTAAAATTAAAATATTTCGAGAAGGTAAATTGCGGTTAAAATAGGTCAGTGATATGGGCAACAATTTCAAGAGAAGCGACAACCTCATCATTCTTAATCAGGTTGGCAACGGCTTTAAAATAGCCTCGCGGCATAATGGCCGGCCAATCGTCAGTTTTGATGAGCACATCCTTGAAATAGTAGACCCCCTTTGGCACGGGACATGGGCGGGCGTCGAGGGGAAAGTCGGTGTTCTCTCCATACTTCAAGCTCGCGTCAAAGTAGACCGCATATGATTCCAAAGCATTGCAGATGGGTTGCTTGGGAATGGTGAAGGGAAGCTTCTTGTACTCTCCGCTGCCATTGGAATCGATGAAACTTTCACCGGAGACGAAAAAGTTATCATTGTCAAAGTCTTGCTTCAACTCCATGGTTCCATTTGCCTTGTGATCTCGTCCCATAAGTCGAATTTTGCTAAAATCACAATACTCGCCGCACGTTGAGTTAAAAGATTCAAAACGCACTTCATACGTTTTTGGCAGGATCATCTGTAAATTAAATGAAGTATTTTTGTTTAAATATTCGAACTTAATAGAGGTTTTTATGTATCTTACATAAGCCTCGCCCACCAGCATAAGTAAAATACAAAAACGAATCCCCATTGTACTTTGTACTGCATTGGCGTTATATTTTTCATCTTATTTATAGGGAAAACGATGGCTTTGAAAATTCCATTGTACCTATAACTATTTAAATTAATTATTAGACTAGCGTGCAACATGTTTTTGCTTGTACCTTGTTTATTTGTAAGTTATTAGCGTAACTATAACATGATTCAAAAAGATAAGTAATTGACCAGGTTCACGAGTTTTTACGTTTACTGATTTCATTCTAATTAGGGTTTTTTTATACCACAACACAATATTTTTCGCAAACATTATCAGAGTTGTATTAACTTTGTTGTAAAAATTTAAATTTAAAAGCTTTGTCGCATAAGTTTGAGTTAAGTTGTATTGCAATAGAAAAATTAAATAAATAAAAGACCTAGGTTTTCACATATTTAACACTTTTTATAATGCTTAATATTTATTAGTGGATCTAGATGACATTAAGGTCTCGGGTTAAAGACCTTTTGATATTTTTTTATTAACACCATGTGATCTTGGAATTGCTTGCACTGTTCAAAAACTATTGCTCGAGGATCAAACTGGTGTAATCGGTGCACGATCGCTACATGATATCACCCCATCCCATTTTATTTGGTTCCATCCCGAAATAAAAGTGCCTTTCACAGTCCTTTGTTTGGATGAGATGAGCTCCTAGGCGCCGGGTCATAACTCTTGGCGGCTGTGGCAGCTATTTGTTCGCCTCGTACGATGCTACAAGTATATGCTACACGGGCAATAAAAATATTGGCCTGCCTTCGCCGGCAGGACAAAGGAATTGCACCATAAAATGCATGCACAATTTCCACACACAGCAGCCGAATGGAAAACAAAGCCCTCCAGATCCCCGGTCCCTTTGTCTTTCCCGGAGAAATCCCTTCGAAACTAGTGCAACACTTTTGGCTTATAGACGAAGCCAAAGTAAACTGCAAGCCTAGAATAGGATATCGAGGATGGGAAAGGGGATGCTGGCCGGGTCCATTGTCTTCGCAGAAGTCGTTAGTGTGACAGGTTGGATTTGTTTTGTGTACGGTGCCTAAGTCTGTCATCATCATCAGCATAGGACTTGTCTGGCGCCAGCATTAGGGACAATATTTTCGACTAAATATTTCGTCACAGGCTCAGGTAAATCGGGATGGCGATGGCGATGGAGATGCAGATGCAGAGGTTCGGAGGTTCGGAGGTAAACGAGGGCGTAGGCCAGGAAAAATCGTACAACTCTGCGGGCGCCTATTTTGGTCGATTTCTATTTGGCCTGCTGCAGTTGCATTGATGATTTATGCCTCGGACTTACAGGTGCATACGGTTCAGGTAGACTGCCAACTAAAAACAATAATATGAAACTCTAATAGGATTATTCCTTATTTGCATTGACATCATTGATATTTGCTATTTAACCATATAGCTAAAAAAACAAGAAAGAAAGCAAACTTCGGCAAGCCGAAGTTCATATACCCTTGCAGCTATTGCATGAATTAAATACTTTTGAAAACATTTAAATTATGATTTACATGAGTGTATGCTGAAAAACATTGAAACTATGATGATTTGCAGCTCAATTATTAGATAGTTATTTTATATATTTTTATTATTTCTATGGGAGCTATATGCTATAGACGTCCGATTTTGATAAAATTTAAAACATAATTGTGAAATAATTAAACATTGCTATATGTCGAAGAACTAAACAAAAAATTAAAAAACAGCAAAGTTATAATTTTTTTTCATTTATTTTTCCGATTGTTCCTTTGGGAGCTATATGCTATAGTCGACCGATTTTGATGAAATTTAAACCGTAAATCGGAAATATTTAACCATTACTATATGTCGAAGAACTAAACAAAAAATTAAAAAATAGCAAAGTTATAATTTTTTTTCATTTATTTTTCCGATTGTTCCTATGAGAGCTATATGCTATAGTCGACCGATTTTGATGAAATTTAAACCGTAAATCGGAAATATTTAACCATTACTATATGTCGAAGAACTAAACAAAAAATTAAAAAATAGCAAAGTTATAATTTTTTTTCATTTATTTTTCCGATTGTTCCTATGGGAGCTATATGCTATAGTCGTTCGATCCGGCTCGTTCCGACTTATATACTACCTGCAATAGAAAGACAACTTTTGGGAAAGTTTCATGCAGATAGCTTTAAAACTGAGAGACTAGTTTGCATATAAACGGACGGACAGACGGACAGACGGACGGACAGACGGACATGGCTAGATCGACTCTACTAGTGATGCTGATCAAGAATATATATACTTTATGGGGTCGGAAACGTCTCCTTCACTGCGTTGCAAACTTCTGACTGAAATTATAATACCCTCTGCAAGGGTATAAAAATAAATGTGTAGTCGTGTCAATGAATCTCAGTCTGCTTTGGAACCATTTTTAAATTTTAAAAAATTTATAAAACATATATTCGTTCAATCGCAACGTGCTGACATCCCATACTCCAGTTTCATTCATCTGACCAAAGGTCACAATGATGCTGATTATATTTAAACCGAATTATTGAAAGCTTAAAAAGTTTTTTGCTTCACTGCTTATCCTCCAAAAGCACCGTGAGGGTATAGTTTCCAACGTGGACGTCATCGTAGTAAAAAGCTCCATCGCCCCGGGCATAGCCCCTCTGCACCATCGGTGGAAAATCATCGGTGTTCAGAGCAATGCCTTTCATAAAGTAAGTGCCCTTTGGAATGGGACAGACATCCATGTCGAATGGAAAATCGGTTTGCTTTCCGACTTTCGCATGTTTCGCGAAGTACTTTCGATAGTTCTTGTACGCCTCGCATACAGGCATCTTTGGAACGTTGAAGGGCAGCAGCTTGTAGTTGCCATTGCGGTCGGCATCGAAATACATGTCCATCGAATAACTCCAGTGCGAATTATCCATGTCTTCGTGTAGTGTGACTGTTCCGTTTACCAACCGCTCACGGCCGATCAAACGAATAGTGCTAATATCCCAAACCCCAGTTTCGTTTGACTGACCAAAGGACACAATGGAGATTGTGTACTGGTTGAAGCCAAAATTCTAAAAGAAAGGATTTTTTATGCTTATAAGACATATTCCAACTTAATACTATACTTACTAAGCCCTCGACGGTCAGCAAAAAAATAATGCCCAAACTTGCCCGTATCATTTTTGTTAAGCAAACTAAGCCAGCAATATAAAACAGATCGTTTTTATAGGAAACATCAAATTTGATACTATGTAAGTATAATCAAAGCGTGCTGTTTAACAAGCTACCGCCGTGGTATTTGTTCATTCATTCATTGTAAAATTCATGGTTACTTTTATATTGTTTTACAAGTATAAATAGTTGACAATAAAGGTAATTGCTCTCTAAGCCCTTTAGCACGAAGGCACAATGATTGAATGCTACGTGCAAAAAGTTGCAAAGATATGATTCCGTAAAAATTTGAGTTGAAATTGTAACCTGGTAAAATACGTTGTATATAACAAAGTTATAACAAAACAACAAAGGAAAAAACAATATAGATGTATCTTTTTAGCATAATAAAAATATAATGTTTTATAAAACTTTTATATTTCGATTTGTACGCCTAAAGGTTTTAAAACAATGAATTTATTTATTTTTCTCTAAAATATTTGTCGTGTCTATGGATACTATATGATACAGTTCTAAAAATCTATGCGTATATTTTTTTTCCGGTTATATGGGTACATGGTAAAAGTCTACAGGTATTTGATTTACTTTCCAGTTTCTACTTAAATTTCCAATTAAAGTTTTTAGATTGATAAAATGAATAACTAATATCGATCTACCAAAAATAATTGAACTATGGTTGTAACAGTCAAAAATGTATTGCAATAATAGGCTCTCGTTTTCATCAATAAAAAAAGTTTTTTAGGTGCACAAGAGCTCCGTGTGGTGGCATGTGTCCCGTATCGAAGCTGCAACATATTGGCACACTTGAACTGAACTCGGGACCCGGGCACGTGCTCCGTGCTCCGTACTTGAACCTCGAGTCCTGATTCTGTTACTTTGCTGAAGGGGAACTCCTGCTCGGCAAAGTTGGCTTGAAACAATCGGGGGTTTTTTAATGCCAACGAAGTCGCACGCTCTCTATTGGAATTTTCACAATGAGCACACTTGAGATACTTTTTCTTTCTCCTGCTTTTTGTTGGTCGAGACATGCAGAATGAGGGGTGGTGGGCTGTGTGGACTATGTGGGCTGTGAACTTTGTGGGTTGGCGAACAATGGTTCAAGTGCTGCTTGCAAAACAAAAAGCGTTTTAAGTTTTAATTACGCCAGACACAAAAGGCCGCAGGAAGGAACAAAAGCGGCCACGACACATGGTGGTCCCTTCGAGTGGAGGTGTGGCCAAGGATATGCCACTGACTTGGGACCATATTGATGGCATATCGCAGCGACATTCCAGCGCCAGCCACAATCCATCGGAAACTTTCCTACCTCGCACCTTGCATAAGCCGTATCGGCTGCCAAATCTCGAACCATTTCTCAACCCGGTCCGAATCAATTTTAAGCCCCCCCTTCACTAACCATCCCCTCGAGTGTGCCATCAGCAACTATCTATCGAATACAGGCAGCCATAGCTTGTCAGTGATTAGATTTCCAAACGGGCTCTTAACAATGCCACCAGAAGCAACCAGAAAAATTATAAGAAACACTTCAGTATAAATGGTTTTTAAGAAGACTAGAGACTACCCTGGAAAAATCATGATCCATTTTTATAACTTAAGCTATCAAATGGGATTATGAACCTTTTAAAACATTTAGAGAGAGTGCAAACAGTTTTTTTTTTAAGATGTAGAGACGTCTTTAAATCGGGGTGTCAAAAAATTCGTTTCAAAAATATTTTTAACATTTACATGCCACTGATATGTACTACGAAGTATACATTAAAACATTAAATACTTGCGAATTCATTATATAGTATTATAATATCCGAAATAAATGTTTCTTTGTATTGTTATGTATTGGTCTATCTAAATCACAAAAATTGATTTATCAAATTTCGTAATGCCAACAATATAATGAATAGTTATTTCACTAAGTACCTGTTTTTATGGGTATTAAACGTTGATCTTAAATTACACCTTAACTACGCACTCGTGTAACCCCCATCTAATCCGCTAAGTAAGGGGTATATAAAATTGCTCAATTGCTCAACTGATTAGACTTTGTTTTCAATTTGTCTTTCAGCCGTTCATTGACAGTCAGCGAAGAAGTTTTCCCCAGCGGTTGAGTCGACAACATGACAGACACGAAGAGCGAGACAGCCAGCCACACGGTTTTTAATCAAAATTGTACAGGAAATCAAAAATCAGTTTTCAAAAAATAAAAATCACAGTTTCTTATCGCGATGTGTGATTTGTGGCTGCCGTTTGTTGTTCTTCTCTACGGTTTTTAGATATTTTTTTTTTGTATTTTTTTTGTTACCCCAATTGCTTGGGCCATCATTGGAAAAAAAAAATCGTTGGCAGGGCCCTTGGCATGTAATTTGAGGAAAGCAGCGCCGAAAGCAAACGCAGTAGCTATGAAATCAATTATGCGATAAAGATTTGACAGCACAACGCACTGAGCTCTGTGCTGCTGGCACTCGATAATTAATTTTAACGCTTTATCGCAATTGGAGGTGCGTGGTGTGTGTCTCTAAGGTGGGGATCCAAAAGATAGTTAGTGGCGATAGTCGTCCGATTTGATTGAAGTCTGTCTAAAGGCGTTTATCTCGGGGGCCCCGCCTAATCTGTGACACAATTGGGAAAAAGTTATGAGTGTGCCTATGAATTTATTAAGGCCTTCACCCCATACCACCGATATTTTTATGCGTGTATGCTGGAGATGCTTTCCCATGATATGCAAACGAACTCAATTATTTATTTTATCACAAATGATTTTGCTTATCGAATCTAGCAATCGCGTCATCTTTGTCTCTCCTCGCAGCCAGAAAACCACAATGACGAAGGGCCGAAGAAGCGGCGACCGCAGAGGTTTAGACCTTTCTCAGACCCTTGAGTTTTTCTTACAATTGCTTGTGTTCTCCGTCCTGATTGAGGCCGCCATTATTCAAGGAGCCAAACTCCACTCTCCACACACAAATCGCCTGTCCCTGTCTCGGTGGCATCTTTTTCTGTTTTTTTTTTCAGATTTTTTTTTTTTTTGGTTTTTTGGCGCTATCTTTGCGTTGAAATCTCCACAGTTCATGTCAAATTTCTTGTGTTTTTATATATCATTCGACTTGGTTGGGATGGCTCTGCTGCTTTCCTTGTAAGTATGTAAATGCCGGTTGGCAGACTGCAGCTGCATTTTGCATGCCCCTCAAGATTCTGAATCCCGATGACTCCCCTCTGAATCCCCCTGCCCTTATCCAGCTTTGAGTGATTGTCAGGGGTTTATCTTTTGATGGGGCCTGGCTTCTGTTGCCAGAGATACAGTACATGTATCTGTATCTGTATCTGTATCTGCGGCGGAGGCTTGTTAATTAAGTTTCAAGCAGGTTTCGTCTGGGCGTTGCTCGAAAGTCAATTTTTAGCACCTATTGACATGCAAAGGACCCGCATGCCACACACACACACACACGCACACAGACACTCGAACAAAAGCAGGAGGTTACAGGTATACAGATACAGTTAGTGATGGAAAAGGTACCGACTTATAGTTATATAGTAGGATAATATTACTTTACCTTCCTAATTTTAATTCAAGGGAAATTGTATGTTATTTCGTTTAAGTATTAAGCCATAGTATTATGAAAACTGTCCACAAAATAATATTAACTTTAACTGGTTAGGAATTATAAGGCTGCATGGAATTATAAAATGCATGTTTTAAAAATAAATAATAATATTGTATCTTAGTGCATTTATTAACAATAAATTTAAATGATTTTATTATAAAATATATTTGTTTAATGTACTTAAAATTAATGACTTGTTTTATTATTTAAATTACTATACACTAGAGCATTAATAGAATTCACTTAAGGGAGAGGATTTATTTAAAGGTAGCACAGCCTGAATAATTACCATCACTAGACACAGAAACAAATATAGACTGCAATTTGGACTTGGCCCCGAGGAAAGCAAATCTATCAATTCAACACGCAAAGTTGTTGCCGATAATTTCTCTATTTTGACTCAACCGAAGACGAGGACGACGGCTAGGGGCAATAAATAATAACTCAATACAAATCCCAATTACTGTAGGACGATTGCCACCCGCCTCGAAGGAATCGAGAAATCGAGGAAGCGAGGAGCCAGGACCAAGGTAACACAGACCAACCCTCTGGGCCAAAGGCTAAGGCAAATCCTGACTGCAGCCTTCGATTGTCCTTTTTGCCACCCGTACACGTATTTTTCCATCTATCTGTGTGTGTTCCCTTCATTTGATTCGATCAGCGGGGTTTCGCCTCCATCAACCACAAAAACAACCAAGGCCAAGGACTGCCGGCGTCGCCGGAGGGTTTCCCCTTAGTGAGTCGGCTTCGATTCGGGCTTATCCTGCAACCGGCACATAAATCGTCGTGCTGCTTCTGCTTCTGCTTCTCCTTTATTTAAATTTTCATTTAATTTGTTATTTGTTTACATGAAACACACCGATGTGCGACGACAGCGACGGAGGCGACATATGACAACATTCTCAGCCGCTCACAATTGCCATTGTCTGAGTCTGATTTGGATTCGTTGAGGGGTGAGTGGTGAGCGTCGGTTCAGGACCCTGGTGTGGTCATCTATTGTGGCCACACACCTGGACACCGAGTGGGGAATGGGTCAGCCGTTGTCCGTTGTTCGTTGTTCGTTGTTCGTTGTCCGTTGGCCACTGTTTGGCAACAGTCCCTAATTGCTGCTTTCAAACGGCGACTCCCTTGTGCGGGAGGCTAGTGAAATTTTGGTGTGCGATTTTAGAGTTTGGTAAATTAATTCCTTAGAGACCACAAAAACCACTGCTTGGCTTATCCTTAAATAAACACTATTATCTGTCTAAATTGCCACAGAATCTTTTTGACTTTAAGCGATTATCCGAGGTGACAGAGAAATCGATTCATTCTTAAATTATAACAGAATTTTTTTCTGTTTTCCTGGAGTATACAAAAAATTTTGAAAAAATTTAAATCTTTATTAAAATAAAACTAAACTTAATATATAACAAAGTTTGCAGTTTATATAATACTTATTGTTCATTGCACTA